CATTATTCACGACTATGCAGTTAAGAAACAAGAAGAAGAAGATGGGGGTTGAAGTTTGACTTTCTTTTTCTTTTGAGAGAGAGAGAGAGAGAGAGAGAGAGAGAGAGAGACTCTTTGAAAATTAAATAAGACAAAACATCATAAATGATCCATATGGTAGTGAAATGATGGAATGCTCTCCGAATATTTTAATCAAATGATAGTTGATGGCCAAAAGCTAACAGAGTTAGCAAAAATGACCGTTTGTTAAAAGTTTTGAAACCATAGAAACCATCTAGAGGTTTTTTGAACTTAGGGAATGTATACCATATTTTTGGAAACCACAAGGGATGTTTTTTCAAAATTATACATGGCTTAATATTACTATTTCATGCAAAATAACAAAATCAAAGTATATGGTTTTTTTTCTTACATTTGACCCTATTAAAATGGAAGTACGATGTTATAAAAAAAAACAAAGTGTTTTATAATTTAATTAGCATTGGTCCACTTTTACACATCCAAAATCATTCCAATTCAAGTACATTAAACAAACAAAACGGAACCTATCATCAAAATAAAATGTATGTCTTGATTCTTATAGGCTCATGAACTCTACATTTTTGTGCATTCACCACATCTACATAATTAGTTTTTGTAGAGATCAGTTGGGTGACAACTATAACATGAAAAAAAAAAAAAAAAAAATGATGCAAAAGTTTGAAATCCCATTTGATAAGAATAAATATTATACGCATAAACATAAATTAACTAGTTTTAATACACACAAAAGTAATATAATGGTTTCTAAAATATGGAGTACAACTTTGAAAGATCACAATCAAATTGACTAAAAGTAATGAAAACTATGTAACTTTTATTTGTTTAAATTGTCGGTTTTCCTATTTACAACAATAAAAAAAGAGACTGTACGCATTTTTCTTCATGGTATTGACAAATATGAAAAATAATAATAAATAAATAAATAAATAAATTTATAAGCATGTATAAAAGAAACGTAATTGGCGGGTTAGACAGCCCACATTGTCACTCAATTGGCGGTGCCACTCCATCAACGGAGTCATTCCATTCATGGTACGGCCCTTACCCCGTCACGCCATCCATCAACCCTTATAAGTGTATACACATCTTAGACTTATATATACTTATTATAAAATACAGATCAAGTATGTAGCTTTAGCAAATTCGTAGAAAGTTGAAAATATAAAGATTTAGAAGTAATTTATCATGACAAACTTTTACATGAATTTTTGAAAAGTGTACCCCGGCCTATAATTTTGTCAAGTGCTTAAACATGCCTAAAATATGTCTAATCAATCATTGTAGTGCATGTTCACTAGTTAATTTGATATAAAATTAATGAAAATCAAAATAAAACTTTATGGTAGCACAAGGTATGATCGAGAGGACAAGGGGCGGAGCCAAAAACCACACTGGATGTGCCAATGGTTAACACCCACCGAACCAGGGGCTAATTGGAAACATTAAACATTAGATCACATGTAACCATCAGTATTCGATAGATTATTAAATTATTAAATATTAAATATACATGTGATAACTTTCGATAGATTATTAAAAATTAAATATACTTTTAGATACCTGGTTCAAGTTTTATATAAAAAAAAGACTGTTATTATCCTATTCTAAGATAATCCTATCACTTTAATGAAACAGACTTGAATCACTTGCCAAAAAAAGTCTAAAATAGGTTTAATTTTTAATGATATCCTCCAATCTCGACCATTATTGTAGCAATATCATACAACCCTATACAACACGACATATCAATTGGTTGAGGCCACAAAAGCCATTTTTAACTTATATACCTCATAAAGTTAATTTGAATTTCGAGTGTGTCCAATGAATAAAGTTGAAAAAGAAGGCAATTAAATGGTTTTCGATATCGTATCCTCTAAAAAAAATAAACGCTTTAGAAATCCTACCAATCTAGCTAATTTGGGTAATTGCGGAAACTACCATTATCTACGGGTATATACAAACGTAAACCCAAATAAATATGGATTTACTGAAACACACTCCCCGCCCTCCCGGATGGCGGACGACGTAGGGAGGAACTGGTGGCCGGTGGGAGCAATCAGCAGGGCAACACTGTATGATGCTTCAGAGATTTCGATCACGCCTTAGGCTAAGCAACGTTTCAAATTTCGATCACTCTATTTTTTTCTAATTTTAAATAGATTGGGCTATTACCTAATGATTAAAGTTTAAGTGGATTGAAACATTGAGCTATTTTAAGTGGATTAAAATATAAACTATGATCTTCATATATTTTGATCTATAATCTTTCTGACAAAGTTTTTAAGGTATGTCATTTAAAAACTATAAAGGAAGTCGTTATATTTTTTCATTTATACCTTATACTATCTTTAGAAAAAATAGGTGGGTCTTAGGACCCACATTCACTCTACTTAGTTACCGTTCACTCTGTCATCAAACCTCATAGGAGATGAGGTTTGTAACTTGGACTTAACCTCCATAACTTGTGGTGGACCTTATTTGTAAGGGTATTTATTGTTTGGGGTCAAACTATTAACTTGAGGACTTGAAATGTTAGAAAAATATCAGCTTGAGTTTAGTTTGCAAGAATAATGAAATGAAGTGCTATTCTTGCCAAATAAGGAAAGTTTTGAAGTCTTCAATTTTTAAAGCCCTCTTCCTCTCTCATAATAACGGTTTCCGCCTAGAAATGAAATGAGAGGGAGGGCTTGAAACTTGATGAAAATTTTAAACTTATGAAGTAATTAAAATCCAAATCGTTTTCAAGCATCAACATCTAATGTTTAAGGGAAATCTCCGGAAAAGTCCCAATATTTTACCCTAATTTACGAAAAAGTCCAAACTAAAATTTGTTTATGAAAAAATCTCAATTACCGGTAAAAACGACGATTTGGCCCTATTTTCCCGATTTACCGGTTTCATTAATTATCGGGTTTTAATAAAGTCTCATTATTTTACCATAATTTACGAATAAGTCCCAAATTATGGTAAAATAATGGGACTTTAATGAAAATTTTGGTAAAATAATGGGACTTTAATGAAACCGGGTAAGTATTGAAACCGATAAACCGGAAAAAAGGGGTCAAATCGTCATTTTTTCCGGTAATCGGGACTTTTTTGTAAACCAATTTTAGTTTGGGACTTTTTCTTAAATTAGGGTGAAATATTATGATTTTTCCAAAGATTTCCCAATGTTTAAATCAAGTAGTCTTCTTCTTTCTTGAATGCTTATTGAATCACTGATTTGGTTCACTAATCACTAATCATATAGATTAATTTCACTAATTGAAATCCAAATAAATTATTACTAATCTAGTGAAATTATTTATCTAATTAGTCAAATTGTGATCTATAAAGATTAAATTAGTGAATTATATACCCTATAGTTGATGAACCACCCATAGATTCATCTATATTCAAAACATCATTTTTTTTAAACGGTGGTTTGGTGCAGCGGACAGTGACATCCGATAGGGCAGTATGTCATAACATCCAACGAACGCATGTTCGATCTCTCCCCGAAGAGATAACAACAACATCCTTAGCAACCCAGTTTTCGATTTTTCGATTAAGGGGCTTCACTGCTTTGGATAGAACTCGACACCATTCTCCAGAAACCCTTGGAAGGGGAAAACTGAAGTGTGTCTTCGCCCAGTTGAATTGGACCTCATTGGCTCAAAACATCATTAGGTATCCATTAATTGTATCCATCAATTCGATCAAATATAAAGTTATGGAGGTTAAATGAAATGTTTTAGCACTAAAAATGGTTGATCACCCATTCTTTCTGGTTAAACCTAAACTTATTTTTATTTTCACAAAAACTCATTTTTCCAAAATGTTCGTTCAAGCCTTATATCAAAGTAATCTTATCAATGACCTTATATATTTTGGATTTTTTTTGTTTACTTTTTTAAAACACACACACACATAATGTTTCATTAAATGACCTTATATATATTGTCTGTGGTGTTCTTTGTGGTTTTCAACATTAAAATTGAAGAAAACAATAGATTGTTAATGTTGGTGTGCATATGACTCCTACTTTAGAACTAAGGTGACGTTTGATTCACATATTGTTTCTGTAGGAATTAGAATATATCATGAATTAGAATCCAATTTCATATTATGTTTGGTTGGGAGGACATGGAGATTGAATCCAATTCCAAATTATGTTTGGTTGACAGAAAATAAAATTGGAATGATGTAAAATGACATAACCGCTCTTATTGTTTTTTGTTTAACATCACTTTGTTTTATAACTTATATGTAAGGATATATTATATAAATTATAAAAAGAGAAAATGTTGGTGGTGGCGGTGGTGTTGGGTGGTGGTGGTGATGGTGTGGGTGGTGGTGGAGTTGGTGAGTGGTGGTGGTTGTTATGGCGGTTGTCGTGGATGTTGGTGGTGGTGGCAGTGGCGGTAATGGTAGGTGGTGGTAGTGGGTGGTGGTTTCGGTAGTGGCGGTGGTGGTGGTGGCGGTCATGGCGGTAGTGACAATGTTAGTAATGGTAGGTAGCGGTTTTTGTTGGGTGGTGGTTGCGATGATGTTAGGTGGTGACGGGGGAGGTAAGTGGTGGTGGTAGTGGTAGTATTGGCAGTGGTGGTTGTGGTGTAGGTGATGGTGTTGGAGGTGGTGGTGAGTAGTGATGTCAGTGGTGGGTGGTGGCATAGGTGGCGGTGGTAGTAGGTGGTGGCGGTGGTGGCGGCGATGGTATCGGTGGCGGCGATGGTATCGGTGGCGATGGTGACGGTGGTGGTTGTGGTGGTAGTGGATAATGGTAGCGATAGCGGTGGCAATGGTGGTGATTATGGTGGTGGCGGTGATGGTGTCGGCGATAGTGGCGGTGATGGTGTCGGCGATAGTGGCGGCGATGGTAACGGTGCTGGTAGTGGCGGTGGCAGTGGTGGTGGTTACGACAATACTGGCGGTGGCGGCGGCGGCGGTGGTAGGCAGTGGTGGTGTTGGTGGCGGTAATGGTGTTACATGATGCTGTGGTGGTGACGGAGGTGAGTGATAGCGGTGGTGGTGGAGATGGTGATGGTGGAGGTGGCAACGGTGGTGGTGGCGGAGGTGGCGGCGGTGGTGGTGGCAATAATATTGATGAAAGGAACAAGGGTAATTAATTTGGTAAATTTATTAATTTTAACACTTGTTTTAATTTGACGAATGGAAAAAATAAATATAAATAAAAGATACAATGGTATTTGATTTCTCTTAAACAAGGTTGTTTCTTTCTAATATCTCGATAAAATTCGTTTTATATAATTTAAAATATCTAAACGTGCACTCCTTTCATAAATACTTTCCTAATTTCTCTCAAATCCAATACAACGTTGTCCACCAATTAACACCATTGAACTCAAAATTCTTAAGTCGAACATTTTATTAGGAAAGGAAATGCATTTAAACACTAAATTAAGTCCTTGAAAAGATGGATGTTTCCCCACCTTCCCTTTTTTCTCTTGTCAAAATTACTTATTCAATTTCATATTATTAGAGAATAGTTTTAGATTCAGATTTAAAGAACAGATAAAGAAGAAAGAAATGGCATTCACAGGGACTTTAGAAAAATGCAAAGTCTGTGAGAAAACTGTTTATTTTCTTGAAATGATATCAGCTGATGGAATCAATTATCATAAAACATGCTTCACATGCAGCCAATGTAACGGCAAACTTACGGTATTTAATTTATTAATTCTTTTGTTTCTTAATTAACTCTTGATTGTTTGTATGAAATTGGGATTTGGAATGACAAATACATACAATTTGTTAATGGATTTGATCTCTCATGTTCTGTTAAATTAATAAGATTCATAATTCCGAAAATGTATGGTAGGATTTGAAACAAAGAAGTAGAAAAACTTCTTTCTATGGAATTCATCATAAGGCTCAATCTTGAATTTATGATTCCACTTTTATTTGTAGCTAAAAATACCATTAACGATTTATCAAATATAAAATTATTTAATTTAAATCAAGTAAATAGAAGTCGTAGCGAGGAAACCCGACATGATTTATCTAACATATCAAATTGTTATTCAAAATTATGACTGTAATACTAATTATCAAGTTGATTTATATGCCAAATTTCATATAAAAATTATTATTCTTTGATTTATTTTGGTTTAACCACATAAGTAATTTTTTGTTTGGTTTAACCTTGGGAGTTTGTTGTTTTTTTCAAAAATTACTCCTGAATTCTATAAAATCATTATGGTTCGGAATTTGTATGGTTTAACCATTCGAATATTTTTTTTATATAATTTAACCATTAAAACATTGATTTTTTTTTCAAATGAACTTAAAAAATAACTAATTGTATTTTGCAGTTCATTAAGTGGTTAAAACAATTTGGGTGGTTAGTTACAAAAAACAAACTATAGTACTTTTTTATAGAACTGGGCCATTGATTTATACATATTTTAGTGTGTATTTTATACTATAATAGCGAAATTAAGTTGTGGTATGCATTAAATTGATAAATGGCTTATATGATGTATTTGTGTCTGTATAATGTATGCATGTAATGAAATTATTGTGTTTTTTAGATAAGTACCTATTCCTCATTGGAAGGAGTCCTATTTTGCAAACCACATTTTGAGCAAAAGTTCAAGGAGAGAGGAGGTCTTCCTAAAGTCACACGTAAGTTCCAGTTTTTTCTTCATATAATTATTTATTTTTATTTTTTCTAACTTAGTTTATTGTTATTATCATGAATTATGATGAACAGCTGCGAATAAACCAAGTGATACGGTACGTAATATTAACAATTTTTTTTTTTTTAATTTTTTATTGGTTATGGAAAAGGTGCACAATATACTTAGATCCGATATTTGCTTAGACCCGTCTCGAATCCATTCTTACCAAGCCCAATATACCCGATATTAGGCTAATTTTCAACCATATAATATCAGATTTAAACTGGGCCTTCAAATATGAGGACTAAACTTTGTGCATCTTTTAAAATTTAAATTAAAGAGATAAACTTATGTTAGTGAATTAATTTGTTTACAGGGAAAAGCCCCAAATAAATTTTCTGCCTTGTTTTCTGGAACCCAAGATAAATGTGCAGCTTGTAAGAAAACTGTGTATCCACTGGAAAAGGTTTGTGCCTCTTTGTTATATTTTTCTTTAAACTAACATAATATTCTCTATATTTTAAGTCATTTTAAACAGTATTTGAATTATACTTTAAATCCACTTATTTCCTATTAACAACCATTATAAAATATGTATAATATATATATATATATATATATATATATATATATATATATATATATAAACTACTATTTTGATTTTTTTTGCACTTTAACCACTATATTGGTTGTGGTCAATAGAAGCCATTAACTTTTTAAAGAAATTTCCGCAGTGACAACTATGATATTTTATTTTCGGTTTAACAAGTGTTAAAACTAACCTGATTTCTTATTACCTATATAACGTCATATATTATTTATGAAATGACATCTTGCTTTTTGAAATGACATCTTGTTTGTTTTTTTAGATAGTTATAAACATAATATATATGTAAATAAGAAGTCATTTCAGAAAGTAAGATGTTATTTTATGAAATACATATGACGATGTCATGCATGTTGATAAGAAGTCATAAAAAATTTAACACCTATTAAATAAAAAATATTGAGTCATAATGATAGCGAGTCTCGTTGCTTAGAATATATATATATATATATATATATATATATATATATATATATATATATATATATATATATATATATATATATAATAAAGTAAATTGGTTGTGCCATAGAGATTTATACCAAATACAATAGAATAATAAGATACATATACACTGATAGATAGATATATATGTGTGTGTGTCATACTATTTAGGTAACTGTGGAAGGTGAGTTTTATCATAAAGCATGTTTCCGATGCACTCGAGGAGGTTGCTTTCTTACTCCATCAAATTATGCGGCTTTAGACGGAAATCTATTCTGCAAACCACATTTCTCACAACTTTTTAAAGAGAAGGGAAGTTATTCTCACCTCAAAGAAGCGGTGAAGAAAGCTACAACATCAAAAGAAGGCGGCGAAGAGGCAACAGAGGAAAAAGAGGAAAAAGAGGGAGCACCGGAAGAAGAACAGGAGTAAAATGAAAAGTGAACGTCTTAACTGTCAAAAGAAAATGAATCAAATTAGGAATAAATTAAACTATAAAATCTCAAAATGATTGCAAAGATTTAAACTCTTATTTATTTACTTTACATTCAAATTAGGGATGATGAGAAACACATGGTTTTGTGAGATGTAAGATTTAAGAAAATGATCGATGGTCACTACAAAAAAAAAATGTACTTCTTGTATATATCTTTTTAGTATACTCATAAATTTTCAAATTATATGTAAGATTGTGCATGTCTCATTCCTTTTAAATATTTCATATGGAGATGATTACTAACGGTAGATCATATTAAACAAAGATAGGTTGTAAATCATGTTGTAAGATGTTTCGTGTTGTAACACGTTATAATTGTGTTTGCATGCTAAATAATTTTAAGGTTTAAAGGCTATAAATCATGTTCTCATATGATATGGTAAATTAACACATGGGATGATTATAGGTTAAAGATATTTAGTAGATCGTTCCTAGGTATCGTTATCGTGGTATAATTAACCAACCATTTTGACTACATTTTGTGGTTATTCTAGGAATAAGTTCAAAGCACATTTCGGCTACCGTTATTTGGATCGTTGTATTGTAACACCTTGTTTTCCAGGTATTCCTTTTATACCCTTGTTATGAGAAATGTTGGCAAAATGGGTCCCTTGTTGCATTTGAAGAAAAATGCATACTCGGTTGGACGCTACGTGTCTATTATGAACACATGGCGTTGGGGACGCTATTTATTCTCGGTCTGGACTAAAACTCTAATTTTTAGGGTTTGGACTCTATTTAAGCATCCTTAAGTCCCAAGTCTTCTTCCTTTCATCAGCCCCCAGTCCCATTTCGTCCCCAAACAAACCCTAATCCATTTTAGAGCATTATTGAGCATTTTGTGTGTGTTTTGGTAACCTTGAAGGAGAGAGGAAGAAGAGAAGATCATCTTGAAGGAGTAGAACACCTCGGATCCAAAATCATATCATCTTTTAGCATCATTTGGAGGTAAAAAGCTCTGAACTTGGTTAAGAGTTGATTAGATCTTGTTTAGCCATGAAATGGTGTTCTTTTGGTCCCTTAAGCTTGGTATTATGAGTATGGATTACTCTAATCCATATAAGTTGTCCTTTCAGACGTTTTGGAGCATTTAGAAGCATTAAAATGTGATCTTGATTGATAGTTTCCTTCCATGCATGAGTTACAAGCCTTAATGGCTTAAGTAGTTAGGGGTTTTGTGTTTGGGCACTTAATGGCCATGCAAGACCTTAAAGTTGGAAACTTTATGGTTAAGAACGTTAGTTTAGGGCTAGATCTGGAATTTGAGCAAAAGAGCTTAAGGATTAAGCTCTTAGTGGAAGAAAAAGGGAACAGTTGGAGAACACTATGCGTTCCCCAGGAACGCCATGTGTTCTAGACGCTATGCGTTATCAAGCTAAGTTGACTCAGTTGAATTTTGGACTTTTTGACTTTGACCAAGTTTGACCTAATGGTATTTTGAGTATTTTGAGTTGTATCTGATATTGGTCATTATTTGATGAATATGTGATGGGTAGAGCTGAAATTCGGAGTCGACACCTATTCAGTTATTTGTTCAGACTGAGAGGTGAGTCTCCTAGCAGTGCTTGATGGGTCGAAAGCACCAATGTCGGCCCATGAATTATTATTATTTGTATGCTAGCTGTCTATGTGACTCTTGTATGTGTTATATGTGTTTGTATGTATATCGGGCGAGACCCGATGCCAAGCGAGGCCTGATGAGTTTCTTGGGCGGGGCCCATCGCATGTTACTGACAGATCTGCTTCGGGCGGGGCTCGATACCGGGCGGGGCTCGATGGTTGTTGGGCAAGGCCCATTGTATGTATGGTTATAGGGTATTTTGGGGAACTCACTAAGCTTTTTGCTTATGGTTTTCAGTTTATGTTTCAGGTACTTCCGATTCGAAGGGGAAGAGCTCGAGATGATCACATCGCACACACCATGATTTTCCGCTTTATTGACTCTAATGTACTTTGGATGATTTCTGATACACTATGATTTCCTTATGGTTTTGATAAACACGTTTGACTGATGTTTATTTAATATAAAAACAAAATTTTTGGTTCTTGGTTTTGGGACGTTACAAGTTGGTATCAGAGCCTTGGTTTGAGGGATTCGAGCATACTCTTGGGTATGTCTGAATTCAAACTGAGGGTTTGATAGATATTTTTAAAGAGAATCATTGTAAATTAAAGGATTTTCCAATAAAATAAAGGGGGTGTGGTGCATGCAATCGACTGAGCTCAAGTAAGTTTTCTCAAAATACCCATACATGTATTGTGATTAGTATGTTTGATATGTGAATTGCATGCTAGATTAGGGCTAAGGATACCTTCAGGAATCATATGATAGAATTACCTGATTTGTTTGATGCCTATTAATTAGCCTAGGAGGATTGGGTATTATGTATTACTTGGAATTGATATCGGCTCAGTTAATTGCTAAGTGTATGCTTTCAAAGTTGTATACGATTATGATCATATAGCCCTAGAATGATCGATTTAGCCTCAGTTCCTGTTCCTTGTTTGGTTATGGACTTAGTGTATAACCATTAGTTGATAGTCTATATGATCCCATTTTGTGTATAACTTGCATGCATAAGGCAACCAGCGGTGTTGATTGTGGTTCTCTGTATTGTGAGCAGTGGGAGTTGAGAATTCCTAGGAAATCCTAGGATATGTATGTTGTTTAGCATAGGTTTGGTATATGGTTCTAATGTGGTGACTTAGAGGAATCAGGATGGCTCTTGAGGAATGTGTATATAGGTGTGAAAGGTAGTATTGGGCTCATACTACTGGAAGCACAAGATCTGTACCCGAGACAAGGACGAACCTGGAGATTCTAAGGATATCTGTGTATTGGTAGTTTCTTTGAGTATATTCTGATGGTTTTTATGGTTTATTTTCAGTATGGTGGTCACTCGAGGAAATTATGGTATCGACATGGGTACCAACACCGGTTCTGGTGCCGGTAATGGTTTAGGTTCGGGCTTTGGGGCTGGGATTATGGACGATCAGATGTGGGAATTCATTTCATCATAGATTAGCCACAACATTCTTGAGCAAACTCATGTGATCTTCGGTACGATCAAGGAGGGTATGATGGAGATTCTGGATGAGCGCTTGGTCGCTTTTTGTTCTGAGATGGTGGCGATGATGGGAGCTCGCACTTTGACTTTTCGTGAGTTTCGGGCATGTGGGGCTCCGGAGTTCTTCTGGAAGAAGGACCCGATTGCAAGCAGGCGTTGGTTAGCGGATGTCACGAGCGCCTTCCGTACTAGTTGTTTCCCTAAGAGGGAAAAGGGCAGACCTGCATCATGTCTTCTGAAAGACAGAGCTCCAGACTAGTAGGAGGAGGTTGGACATGCGTTGGGAGGCAAAGTGGTTGAGTCGATGACTTGGGAGGATTTCGTGACGAGGTTTCAGGTTGAGTTTGTATCGGTGATTGAGGTCTAACAGTTGGCGAGGGAGTTTCAGGACCTTCGCCAAACTAATGAGACGGTGGCAGAGATCACTGCTATGTTCTGAGAGAGGGCATTGTTGGTTCCGCATTATGAGGCGGGCGAGGAGATGAAAAAGGCGAGATATCATGAGATGTTGAGGGGCGATATCAGACAGTTTGTGAGCAGATCCAACTGCAAGACACTGTATGATATGGTGGTGCGAGCCAGAGAGAGGGAGATTGACATGGAGATGGAGAAGAAGAGGAAGTCGAATCAGGTTCAGAGTTCTAAGGGTTCGGGCAAGAAGTCCAAGGTTTTTGACTCGAGATCGAGAGATCAGCAGGGCCGGGGCCATTGTGGCAAGTGCGGAAAGATGCGCGATGAGGCGTGCAAGTGGGTGGTTTTGGCTGTTTCAAGTGCGGAAGGACGGGTCACTTCAGCAGGGATTGCACTGCTACACCATCACCACCCAGGTATCTGATTTGATTTGCTTCCATTGCAATTAAAGGGGTCATAAGAATTCCAACTGCCCAAGTTTAGCATCGATGGGACCGGTCGCAACACCCGCTCTAACAACCTTGAGGATTACAGATGGTCGGCAGGGCAAGGCTGAGGTGCCTATTGTTAGGAGCAGGGCATTTCAGTTGACAGTCGAGGAGGCTTGTGTGACACCAGTTGTGGTTACTGGTATGTGACTTATTCATATCTTTTATTGCTTTCCTTATTTATGCTTAGGTTATATTTGATCTTGTATAGGGACCTTTTTGGTCAATGGTATAACCACTCATGTATTTTTTGATTCGAAAGCTACCTGATCCTTTGTATCTCTTGCGCTTAGCAAGAAGTTTAGTGATGCTCCCGGGATTTTGGATTACCAGTTGGAAGTCGAGATTGATGATGATCATTCTGTGAGTGCTTCGAGGATTCATCGTGGGTGTGTCCTGAACCTGTCCAGCGAGAGGTACTCGATTGATTTGGTGCCGATCCCTCTACGAGGATCGAAGGTTATCATCTGGATGGATTGGTTGGGCCCCAATAGGGCCATGATTGATTGTGAGCGCCAGCTAGTGAGAGTTCGAACGCTAAGTGGGGGAGAACTGGTTATTCCTGGCAAGAGAGCTTCGTATGGGCCAGCTCTCTATTCAGTTGTGAGGGCCAGGAGATATTTGTAGCAGGGTTGTTCTAGGTTCCTGGGTTATGTGGCAGATACTCGAGTTGAGAGCACAACCAGGGGCGGAGCTTCAACATTTGATTTAGGGGGAGGGGGGATAATATGTATAAAAATTGGTGAGTAGGGGGCACAACCAAAATTTTATATTTTTGGGCCTAATATGTATAAAGTTAAAGTATAGGGGCCATTTATAACCAAAAAATCAGGGGGGCCACAACCCCCCTCGCCCTAATATGTATAAAGTTAAAGTATAGGGGCCATTTCTAACCAAAAAAATCTGGGGGCCACAACCCCCCTCGCCCTAATAAAGCTCCCCCATGAGCACGACGTCGTTGAGTGAGGTACCCATTGTTCGGGAGTTCCCCGATGTGTTTCCAGATGAGTTACCAGGAGTGCCTCCCGATAGGAAAGTCGAGTTTCAGATTGATCTGATTCCTGGAGCGGCTCCAATAGCCAAGCCACCGTATCACTAGGCACCACCAGAGATGCAAGAGTTATCTACACAGCTTCAGGAGCTTCTAGACAAGGA